GCGATTGCAGCACACTTGGCCGAAACCTGTCATATCATAGACAAGGAGCAAGCCTTCACCATCATATACCGGGTACCTCTGAACGGACCACGACTGGTACGATCCAAACTACTATCGATCGCAGAAGCGATAGGAATCCGACTGCTGGATCCACAACTTTGCATCCAAAAGAAACTTGTGCGACCTCTGAACTTGAACTGGCCTACGAAACATCTGGTCCCACAAGTCTGTCTGACATTGACGTCATGACCCATTGACCTACCCCTCACCAAACCCCCTTCCTTTGACTTCTATTTCTCTAAAGTGTAGCCCCGATCTCAACCTTTTCCACGGAATTTTGCTTTGTGGAGAATAGCTGAACGCACGATCCTCAGTTATTCAGTTCAGTTTACCAGTACGATCGAGCTAATTTGCAAATGACTGCACCTACATACGATCTAATGTTCCAGCAGGGGAGAGAAATGTGATCTAGGTTCGCCTAACGAGTCCCAAAAAGGACAAAACAGGTATAATGGCTTGTCAGAGATTCCAGCAACTTCGTAGAAAACTTGAACAATTGTTCGGAAGGAACACTGGTGAATTGCAGGGCTGATTTGGGTTATAAAAAATCAGCGTAAGGCATTTCAAACTATTGAAAAAATGCTAGAAGGTTTTGTGATCTTGCACAAAGCGCCTTAAATAAAATATGGGTAGTCCGCATCCAAAAAGAGGCTATGACTGCCTCGCGGTCTATCTGTATCCATAATTGCAAACATCCATTTCGTTTATTGTTTCAAAGCAAACCCCTGGTTGCCATGTCTCCTTAACCCCCCACGTTGATGTCCTTTTTCGTTGCTGACCTGTTGCAGCCACATTCTTCTGAGCACCCTGAATGACAGTTCCGCTGATTCCCACGCTCATCTCCATCTGCATTAAAATGCAGACATCATCCTTACGTTATACCGCAGAACCCGCCTCAATCGATGTTTCGAGTGCACTATTCGCCCAAATAGGCTCATGAATACTCCATTACTTACATGTTTCTACGTGGATTCCAGCAAAGATTTGGTCGGCTTTTCCATTAGGCCACCTCAGTGGGGGACTTCAGCGACTGTGTCAAACCACGTACTTTCAAGTAGTACGTACCTGGAAATGTAACAAGGCTCATTCAATACATCGTTCCATTCACTTTGTGCCTCCTGATCATGCCTACCCAGGGGTTGTTTACTTCCTAAGGCCAGGGTGAGGTCGTTGCGAATTAGGTTGGAGCCATCGGCCCTCAAGAAG